TCGATCCCAGGACCCTGGGATCATGACCTGAGCCGAAGGCAGATGCTTAACGACTGAGCCACCCAGGCGCCCCCACCTTTTTACTTTTTTTAAAGTTTATTTATTTAAGTCATCGCTACCCCCCAAGGTGGGGCTCGAACTCATGACCCCAAGATGAAGAGTTGCGTGCTCTTCTGACTGAGCCAGCCAGGTGCCTCTCACCTTTTTACTTTTTAACTGTGCTTATTAGAAAATTTAAAATTACATGCTGGGACGCCTGGGGGGCTCAGTGGGTTAAGCGTCTGCCTTCAGCTCAGGTCATGATCCCAGGGTCCTGGGATCGGGTCCTGCATCGGGCTCCCTGCTCAGCGGGGAGCCTGCTTCCCCCTCTGCCTGCCATTCCCCCTGCTTGTGCTGTCTCTCTGACAAATAAATAAATAAAATCTTTTTTAAAAAAAGAAAAATTTTAAATTACACATGTAATGGGTAGAGGGATCGACCGCCATTTAGCACGAGGGATCTTTTGGGTGTGATGCAAATGTTCCCGATTGGATAGTGGTCATGGTTGCACAGCTCTATACATTTCCAAAGAATCACTTCTGAAGTTGGGCACGTTTCATGGCATGCAAATTGTACATGAGGGCGGTTGTTTTAAAGTCATGATGTACGTAGCCCGGATTCTACATGGATGTGGAATGTAACAGACAGCGAGGCTCTAGATCGCTGAATCTCAAACTCAAATGTGCACATGGTTCTGGAGGAGGCACCGGGGGCATCTTGTTACAGTGCAGATCCTGATGTCGTAGGTCTGGGGCGGAGCCTGAAAGTCTGCATTTGTACCCAGCTCAGAGGATGCTCCTGTTGCTGGTCCAGGAGCCGTAATTTCCGCCTCTTACCGACCACTGTCTTATGCCTTTCACGCGTTGCTGTATTCTATTTGTCTTTTTTTCTTCCAGTTCCATGCCTGCCTCCCCACTTGGCTCTCCACTCAGTGAGAGCAGCCGTGTTCTCTGACCTCTCCAGTGTCCTTCCCCACAGGTTCCAATAAACAGTGCTTGGCACATGGCAGAGCTTGAGTAAAGTTTGGAGGTTAAAAAGGCAAAAAATGGAACCTGGTATGCAGCTGTGGTCAGGGAGATGGATCCATATGTGTTAATGCAGAGAAATGCAGGGTGCGATGTGTTTTCACGGTGTACCACGGGACACCGTCTACACCCTGCATGGACTGGGCTTGCATGGGGGAGGATTGGATGGGCCATAAGGAACTGCCCCTAATGCTGTCCTTACTTCTTCCTGTGGACCTCGGGCTCCTGTTTAGTCAGACCCGGTCACTAGAAACACTGTCCCTGCAGACAGCCACCCCCCACAGGGCATGATGGGAACTCCCAGGAAGATGGAGAGCTTCCCGGCCTCCCCCCATCCCCAAGCGGATTTGTGCCCGGAGGCCACTCACTGCTCACTGGTCTGCATCAGCTCTATGAGGTCAGAGAAGAGAACATCCCGGTTCCTCTCACAGAAACCGTTAACATCGTAGGAGACCTGGAGAGAGACAGTGTTGGGGGAATGAGGGGCTGAGACCTGGGGGGCTGCTTACAGCCCAGGTGGTCAGGGGTCCTGTGGGGACCTGCCCTGGGGGACAAGATGGAGAGGTACCTATAGTTCACAATAAGGGGCAGGAGGCTGCAGCATGGGCTTGGGGTCCCTGGAGGTCTGATGTTCAAGTGCAGATTGGAGGGCTGGGGCTGCAGCCTGGGCCAGAGGCAGGGGGAGGCAGCAGTTCTAGCCCAGAGTTGGGGATGAGGTGCTGCAGCCTGGACAGAGGGTCCCTGGGGGTCTGCTGTTTAATTTGAAGTCAGGAGGTCAGATTGAGTATCTGTGTTGTGGTCAATTGAGGGGCTGGGATTGGTGTCAGGAGGGTTCGAGCACTGGCTGGGGATCCATGGGGGGCTTCAGTCTGGCTTGTAGGCTGGGTCTGCCATCCAAGGTGGGGGGCTCTCCATAGTCCTGGTTGCTGCTATTCCCTGGCTGAAGGAACATAGGAGCTCTAGCCCACTTTGGGGACTGGGGTGCTGCAGGATGGCCAGGAGACCCTTGGGGCTGTCTGCTGCCCACTTGAGGTCAATGGGAGCGTCTATAGTCCTGTCAGTTGGGGAGAAGGACTGTGGCCAGGGTAAGAGGCCGGCGGATTTCTATAGTCTTGGGTAGGGGTCTGTAGGGGGTTCCAGCCCATTTTGGAGGGCGGTGGCTTACAGCTTGGGCCTGGGGTCTTTGAGTTTGGGTCAGAAGGCTGTGTCCTGGGTCAGGGGGTTAGTGGGGTTTGCAGCTCAGATCGGGGTGTGGGAGTCTGCTGCCTAATGTGGGGTCAATGGGAGGGAGTTTCTGTCCTGTTAGGTGGAGCTGTCCTGTTAGTAACGAGAGCTTGACCTTGGTCGGGGGCGAGTGGGGGTTTCCGCAGCCCTAGCTGAAGGAACAGGGTGCGGGGCCAGGCCAGTTCCTGGGGGGTCAGTGGGAGGGGTGGAGAAAGGGGTCGTGGAGTTCGGCAGCTCTGGCTGGGAGGTCCCTGAGGGCTGCTGGGGAGGCGGCAGCCAGGTGGGACGGGCGGGGGCGGGGCACACCGCGCACCTTGCCGGCGTAGTGGTGGATGACGAAGCCCGAGCTCCAGCTGTTGAAGTGCTCGTGGGTGCCCACCGCTGCCTGCAGCTTCTGCAGCAGGGTCTGGTCAGCGCCGCCGCCGGTGGCGTGCATGGTGGCGCACACGTCGTCCAGGACGCTCATGATGCCCGGGGGGTTCTGTGGGTGGGGGAGGCGGGCAGCGGCGCAGCCTGGCCTGGCCCTGCCCCCATCCCGTTCCCAGAATGGGGAGGGAGTGGAGGAGGCGGGGGGTGGGGGGCAAAGGGGGTGGTGATGGTGTGCGGGACTGCTGTGGAAGCTAGTTGGGGTGAGGAGCCCCATAAAGGATCCATGCTCCTTTCCCTTCCCCAGACTGGGATGGCCTGGTGGGGGACCTGTCAGGGTTGACCCCTCTGTCCCTGAGCAGGCTGCCCCGGGGAAGCTTCGTTGAGTGAGTGGATGAGGCGGCTGGTGGGATATTTCGGTGTGCTCTGTCTGCCCTCAGAGGGGAGCAGGGGTAGAGAAGGGGCCCTAACCCACCCCCTCCTCTCCCGGGCCCAGCTCCAGACCCAGCAAGATGCACAGAGCTGGCCCAGTCCTCACCAGCTTGTTTTCAATGAGGTCGCAGACGACTTTGTTGTTGAAATACTGGATGGGGGTCCAGCGGATGCCCTCCTGTACGTATTCCTCCTGGGGAGCAGCAAAGGGGGCAGGGATGGGGGTGGGTGTCTGGGCAAGGATGTGCATGTTCCTAGAATGCATGCTTCACAGGGGTGGGTGAAGGAGGTGTGGTGGGTGTCTCCCTATATCTCCCCATCTCATCACTCAGGACCATCTCCAGTAACAAAGCCTGTTGCCCTGTGTGGGGCAGGCTGGGACCGCCACCCCAGACCGCCCTTGACCACCGACAGACAGGAGCTGGTGGATAAATATCCTGGCTCCGTTGCTTTTGGGCTGGGTCAACTCGGGTCTGTGCTACAAAGCGTCCCTCCAGGGCTCAGCAAAAATTGGCCCCAATTGCCTGCAGTGTAACCTGCTCATCAATACACCCTATTCTGGCTTTTTTTTTTTTTTAAGATTTATTTATTTATTTGTTTTTTTAAAGATTTATTTATTTGTTTGT